CTGCCTCTAGAAGTCAACCAATTAGTAGGTAGACTCCACCTTCATTTTCAGGCTCAATCCAGTATATATATTTTTTAATTAGAAGGAGAAACATCAAAGAACAAACAGCATCGGACCAAAAAACACCAAGTATAAATACAAAGAACAGAAACTAAAGCAGGACAGGGTTGTAAAAAAATTATTTCAAACTCTGAACATCTCACAGATCATTGTTCAATGTATTATCCAAAAATGGAAATAGCCTAACATATGCATAAAGTGATTTAATAGTGCTATTTTATAGCACAATCAAAATAAATTTGATTGTGCTTGAAATTAGGATCTTGAAATTGGGTCTCTGTCTCTTTAAAAGCTTTTTCTCTTTCTGAAACTCCGTCTTCAGGAAGTCATCACAACATGGGTCCTCTGTTAACCCTTTAACAACGTTTTCACCAGTGTTTCGCTGAGAAGTAGCTCGTAATAATGAGTGCAGCCGATGCACAGTCCCACCAGCTGTTTGCTAATTGCTCCTGGCTAGTCTGAAGGAGCTGAGCACCGGAGTCACAGGTGAGGGCTGCTCTGCGATTTAGAAGTACAGAAGCTTGGAAACTGCAGCCCCAAGGAGCAACAGCATCTCGTTGCCACGGGAGATTAAAGGATTCCTCAGACATGCATGGAAGAATCAAGGCAACACTCCAGCTGTGTTTCTGATGAAAGAATAACATTACAAGGTGATGAACAGCTCAGAAATGTTGATTTTTCATAATACTGTCCCTTTTGAAAAGCAGTCGAACTTTCACACAGCCACCTACCAAAACACAGCTGTCGGGACTTGAAAGAAGCTTTTCCCAGAACGGATCCACCTTCACAACAAAATATATTTCAGTGTGTGGTTGTAACGTGAACAAAGCAGAAAAAGTTTAAGGCGTCTGAATAGAAAGTGCTACAAACTTTCTAATTATGGACAGTAGGAATGAAAACAGAAAAAGCTCCTCCGCATTGATTTAAATAATTTCCGTACATAATTTTCGAGCATCTTGCCAGTTTTCTTTGTTTCTGCAGATTTATTCCAGCTTCTGATCATTTACAAGTCCTGGCCCCCGAAAGTTATTTCACACCTCAGCACACCGGAAACTCGAATGAGATGTTTAATTAATTTTTTCTGCCATTAACTTTATTCTATCACATTCCACTCGAAAAGAGTGGCACCCTCGTAACCGTGTGCTGCATAATCACATTTCTGCACGTCCTTGCTTCCCAACTTGAGGGAAGTAGTTCGCTGCTCCCTTAAAGCCTTTTTCATCCACGCCGAGTTGGCGGCCCGCAAGTAAACATGCAAGTAACCTTCCCCCGGACGAACCCTGCCTTTTGTCAGTTCGCTGCAGTCATTGATACTCCAGTATTGTGGGCTGCTCTGGCTAATTGCTAAACATGTCCTTGTCAATCAAGCCTCTCCCCAACTGGCAACCCGCTCAGCTCATTTTGACGAACAGCCCGGGAGGAGTAATTGTGGTCCACCCGGCAGTCGCCTGACTCCGTTCCATTAGTGGCTGTATATTGCAAATGAGTCAAGCTGGTTGTTCATCGTAGACCTATTCAAGCTTAGGCATGAACTCAATGGCATTTTTTTTTTTTTTACAGATGGGTCAAAAAGAAAGAGGAGTGAGGGAATTAATTGTGTTTCCAGGCAGTGCGGGATGTTTTCTTCATTTCATGAACCACAACGCCTGAGCAAGTGTAAAACGGTGAGAAATTTGAGTCACTAAGCAGCTTAGTGTGGGAGAGAGCTGAACCCAGTGTAGCGATTTATCAGGCGTCTTGATTATATTCAGATACTGAAATCATATCAGTCTTGCATCCATCGAAAGTCAATATGAAGGGTGAATTTGTTTTAATCAGCTAGGCCGTCGCATGATTTGAGTAGAAATAAAATAAAATTTATTTATCAGAAAATATGTATGCGACTCCCTATGTTCGCACACTATGTATGGACAGCTGTCTAAAAGTCATTTTCTTGTGCTTGTTGTGGATTTTTATGTTATAAATGCTCACAGACCACTGAAGTGGACACTAATGCATCATAAAATACACTATCAACTACTGGCCTTCAGGTGCAGAAATTATTTTAGTTAAATCCCATATGGCCGACAGACAAAAAAGCACAGCTACTGACCCGGTCCCTCCTTCTGCTGTAGACGACTCCTGCAAGTAAAAAAAATATCGTGACATAAGATAACCTCTAAAGAACAATACTACTGATGTATTTTTCAAATAATAACTTTGTTTTTGGAGAAAATTACAATTGATCACCGAAAAAAAATAAAAATAAAACATTTTTTTTTTTTTACAAAATTTATTTTTAGGTTTTTTTATGCCTTAAGAAAATAAAAAAAAAGTGAAAAAATCCTGACACAAAGGATCATAATTCATGCATGAAAGGGATTTATATTGAAACTAGTCACAAAGGACGCTTAATCATATATATTTTAAGGATGAACTCTCTCGAATTCTACATATATGACGTAGCTCAAAAGGAAAGCTTTGAAAGAGACAAAAGGGATTAACTTTTGAGTTATCAAAGTAATGAAACACCCCTCAATAAGTCAGACTGGGCCTCTTGACCTGTATTCCTAACTGCCCCGTCTTCTCAGGTCCGCTCACAGGGCAACCATTTTGTTTTGTCACAAACCAATCCTGTACAAGCGTTTCTTTTGGTTCTGATCTGGTTGGTTGGTTTTGTCTCTTCTTCCTGTAATTTTGACCACTTAATCCGCTTTATATTACAGCCACACCCACCCAGTCGCACTCACCAAAGCACACACGTTTAAACACCAATGCAGAGATCGGTAGGCAGCGCGGGGTTAAGCGTCTTGCCCAGAGGCACAGCGATGTGCAACAGGAGGAAGCCGGATTCGAGCCAGCAACTTTCCAACTGCAAGACAATTACTCTACCCACCTACTCTACTCTCTCTGAGGGTTAAGAACAAATGTTACCTGTGTGACCAAAGCTACTGACTAATTCAAGGTCTAAAACATGCAATCTACTTCTTAGAATAAAATATTATAAGTTTAACACCCAGTACAGTAGGTTATAACCCACCATTCAATAACCATGGATCATTTCAAAAGTTTAATGAATTTCAAGCAAACAAACCAAGGATAATTTGTTTTAAAGAGCGTTATTTAACATGTATAGACATACATCTAATTGATCATATCAATGTATGTCAGACAGTCTCAACACATCATCTGCAGGATGAAGTGGTGTTTTTCCTTAAAGGTGTAAAAATGTGGGTCCATTTTAAGGTTTTTTTTTTTTTTTCAGCTCCTGTAGCTGAATGGATCTTGCCCACAAACCTCATCTGACACAGCAGTGTGGTTTCCTGAGGTGCCCAAGCGGCTTCCCGGAATGACAAAACAGTGCCTAACCCCGGGGGAGGCTGAGACACAACAGAAACTGCTGAGTTATCACTCTACGATAACGGCAGTACAACGATCAGCTAGAAACACGAGAGGCCAGATGACTGTATCATTACTGCAGCTGGCAGCAAAAACATGCTATTTATATAGAAGGAAAGCTACTCAGTGGGGTATAATGGGAGGCTTTGAAATGGTCATCAACAACCATAAATGTCTCTGGCTCCAATAAAGCACTGCAGCAATTTGTAACCCAAGATCCATTCTCCAACCTCAGTTCAAGTGCTTTTTTTTTTTTTTTTTAGTAAAGCACCAAGCACCTGAGATGTGTCATTAAAGCCATCTCGAGATTCTGAAACGGGCGTAGGGGAGTCGACGTAAAATGAGGAGTTGGATCTTTCGAGCGTTCCTCTCTCCAATAATCCCAAGGAGGGCGTCCGGATTCAGAGAGGTTCCACTTGGCTGGAGAGAAACATTTTCTGAATTTAAAAGCTAACCAATTCTTCAGCATGCCACCCGCTCACATGAAGCGTTAAATTCAACTCAAAGTAGCAGCGAAAAAAAGGAGATTTGCATTTTTTTTTCCCTATACCAGCTTTAGAGCTCTATGGGTTGGTTGAAGATTTGCATTATGGGGATTTTTTCCCCCTTCTACTCCCAACTAAAGGAACTTAAATGTGTCATCATAGCTTCCTTTGGCACCCCTTGGGTTTTGTATGCTAAGCTTCATCCCTTAGGCAGAGAAACATTCAAAACTCCATTAAAAGTGCTTTTAAAAAGTCAGAAAATAAATTTCACAAACAGTCGCGGAAAAGCCGTTCAACCCTACACCGACACAAATTATTGGATTTCTAATTACAGCGTTTTTGTGGAGGCTGGGATTTGACACAAAATCATCCAGCTTAAAAAAAAAGAAAGAAAAAAGATCTAATTAAAAGTTTGTTTTTTATTGCAGAAAATCTCAGAAAAACTTTTACCCCCCTTCTAATCCGCTGCCTTTTAATTAAGACAAATCAAATTCTCACCAGAAATCAAGCTGCATTATAAATCCCCTGTGATAACATGCAGCTCCTTTGGAAAAGTACATCCATGGAACGTTTCTCGTATTGTTACAATAACGTACTCCAGTCTAGTCTCCTCGGCTTAAGTTAAGTTGCATGCACTGCCATGTACTGGCAGGTTTCCAATTGTGCCACAGTCTTGCCATTTTCAGATGACGGACTGAACAGTTCTGTGTTTGGATTAGGTTATAATCTATGTTTGGATTATAACCTAATCTTGCTGTTAACTTTTCCACAACTTTGCCGTCACAGAGCAGTAGTTGGATGAGATGAATGTACACAAATCCATATTCATATGTTCTGCTGCCAGCTGGTAGCATGGACTGATTTCATTTAGCAATTTTAGAATAAAAAGTATTGCCTTCAAATTCACACCACATGCTTCAAATGTGTGTTTAAAACCACAGATAGTTCTCCTTCACAGTTATGTAATACTTTATTTTGGAATCATATGGATGCCCAATGAAATATTTTTTTGGTTGTAATATGACAAAGTGTGACAACGGCCAACAGGAATAAATACTCTTGTTCTGTGTTTGGAACAAGAGTATTCAGTTTTCAGTGTGGTATAACACAGCCCCTCACCCGCATGCCCAGCTCGATGTTCTCTCCTCCGTACACCTCCATGCCAGGATCCAGCAGACCGATCTCTCCAAAGTATTCCCGGTCGACCACAAAGGAGCAGCCAATCATAGCCGGAGTCCTGAATAACCAGAGAAAGACAGATTACAAAAAACAAAAAAACATTTAAAGACACTTTTTAAACTCTTTCTTCCAAAATTCCTCCTCAGGTTCTTCCACGGTAGCCAACCAATGTGCCTCTAATGTAGAAGTAAGAAGAGAATCTACTTATGGTCCTGCTTCCTAAAAAGGCTCAGAGTCTCTATCTGCACTCAGAGGATGAGTTTTACTATCACATTTCAAAACAAAGCATCTCTTAGACAGAAGTTATTTTTTGGGAGACGGAGGCACGGGGGCAACAAAAGGACCCTCCATATCTATTTTTCACTTTATTGCGTGCTGCACTGCAGTCTGCTTCAGAATTCTGTTCAGCTTCCACCTCAGCACAGACAGAAGCTTTAGAGATTAGGGAACATATGACTAAAACTGATAAATTAAAGTTTTACATCAGGCAGGTATAAAAAGAAAAAATCATATGGAAATGGTCTCTCATTTACGTGGCGTTCTCAAGTAGTAATGCTGATCTATCTTGATAAATTTGATCTAAGTCAACATACTTCTTTAAAGCTGCCTCAAGTTTTCAGTACTGGGCTTCAGTTGTTCTTTTTTTCTTTTTAATTGGATTTGGCAAAGTCAATTTTCTCCGTAAATGTTGATCTTGTAAGAACTATAGTCGGATTTGTTTGAATTTGGACGGAACAAGTCAGATACTTCGCAGGAGCACAAGTTCTGCTTGTACAAAGAAATGTTATATGTAACTTTTGTCAGTCTTCTTGACATGAAGGACATCAGCTAAACTGATAAACTGAAATGACTATTGACCCAACCCAGAAACCAGAGACGTCTTGATCCACGATGCATAAAATGTCCTCATATCATTCTTTTCACTTGGCAAATTAAGGACAAAGCTACAGATGAGCTAAATGACATTCTAACTGAGATGAATCAGTTAATGGTTTCAATGATTACCTTGGCTGTAGTGTAGGAGCCATTTAGCTTTTCCGGTATTTATCGCCACTAGGGGGCATATTTCATTTTGTGTCTGGAGGGCCATAGGGTTATTTAAGGTCAAGTGTGATTCTGTTTGGGTGTTGCTAGCGGGAGGAGGTAAACGGTTTTCTACTGTGCTTGGTTTGGATTTTATGTGGTTCTAAATGGAAATGGCAAAACAATAGATATTGCAAAGAAAATAACTGGCTTTATGATTATGAGTCAAGTTGAATATTGGCATAGCAAATTTTGATTGAGTGCCTGCCAGAAACAACAGCAACCACTGGCCTAAAATACAGGATTTTAGCCGCTATAAGTAGCTTAGGATAAAAATGGTTTCTATTGAAACGATAAATGCAATCATATGCGTTTTCTCAGACGAGTTGCAGCAGATACAAAGAGATAGTCGCATATGGATAAAAGCTCTGGGTGCATTGTGTGTTCAGGCTGCAGACTGTCATTCATCCCTGACAGATATTATTTAATATAGAAGGCATTCATTGAGGCTGAAGTTAAACTGCGATGCATATTTTTCTCTGTTACATATGCATTAGGGTGCCAGGCTCATTAAGGGGGAAAACAACATGACTCTGATTAGCAAACACCAGCTGTACCCTCTTAACTAAAAGGACTCGGACAAGAGCCGCATCATGTAGAGACTGAGCGCAACTAATAGGAAATATTTTGAAACAAACAAGAGAGAGCGTGTTTCTACCTGGGCGAGGCAGAAAAACCGCTGACCCACCTGCCGCTGGCAACCGGAGGAGCAAAAACCATCGAGCGACTCAGAAAAGCTTATCGAAGCTTTTACCGCAAAGACTTTATGAGCACCAAGAGTTCTGAGAAGCACTCTTCAGACGCAGCAGCCCTCAAAGATACTTCATCGACAAAGTAATCGGGACACTTGGCAACGGGACTAAAGGCAAGTTAGATCACTAAAAGCAGGTAGCTTTGTCCTTATTTACATATGAGTAAGGCCAATGGATTGTTAGCACAGGAGGCACAGAAGTGGAGTTTTTTAGAATAGAGCCATTTGTTTTCATTTTCTTTACCTGATATATTTGCATTCTCACTGAGGTAAAATCTCTCGCGTTCTATTAGAAGTTGTGTATTGTGTATATGACTGGGAATGTTTCTAGGCTGCAAAATGTTACATCAATAATCGATTTATATTGATGTCATGTAGCCTCCGAAATTGTAGTTGACTTGATGGTCAAGTGGCCCGTTGCAATATTGATAAAACACAATGTGTTATTTTCCACTTTGAAGCCACAGAGTTTCTCAGAGTAAACAGTTAAACCCAAATTTTCCATGCCCTCAGTAGATCAGGATGTAAAAGTATTTATTCAACCAAGACGTTTGTACAGGTAAGAATGAGGCTGGCATCTATGGAAAGAAAGTAAAATTATAGAAAAGGAAAGTAAATTCTTGTTTGGTTACAATCAATTAAAAATGGCATGTAAAAAAATGTACAATATTCCCAATAATCAGTAGAAAGTTGGATTGGCATGACTGGCTTTTTTTCTTCTTTTTTTTTGCCAGTTTCCACTTATGTTTTCTGCATTAATGTTTGCCAATGTGCTCAAAAATCTTTGAGGTTGGAAGGTCTCCTTGCAATCGCCTTAATCTTTAGCTCACGCCAGAGTTCACCCAGCCAAGTGTGAACTCTGGCTGGGTTTCTCAAAAAACAGCAACCCAGCTAGTCAGATGAAACATGTTGGTAAAATTAAAAGCTTAATTTAAGCCTAAGTCTGCCTGAGGCATGAATAATTTGCAGTATGAATAATTTGGCGTATGATGACTAATATGGAGCTTAGCTGTGCATGGAAATGATCTTAAGGAAGTAAGCAACATTTTATGCATATAGAAACTTCAAAGGCGTATATCACAAAGCACTGCAGAGAAAAGAACTCAAAACATTAGCCAGTCAAAAGAAATGGTGAAAAGGTGAGATTTTAGTTGCTTCTTATAAAGCTCAAAGTCCAAAAAACATCAAATTAAAAAGCAGAAATTTCTGCAAAAGTCCTGGAGCAACTGCTGACAAGGTGCTATCAACTTTTGTCTTTGGCTTTGTACACTGTAGTTAAAAGTTTTTATTTCTGAAATAAATCTACTGTGTGTAGAAATGGATTGCCCGTACTTTAAATCTGCAGAAAGAAAGAAAGAAAGAAAGAAAGAAAGAAAGAAAGAAAGAAAAAAAAACATGGTTCCAAATCCAAACTCTAAATTTATGTTTAATAAGCAAATTTCTCTTTTAACGCAATGCAAATCTGCATTGGCTAAATCAGCAACACCATTAACTCATATAATTTGTTTAGATGCCAAGCAATTCAGTAAATAAAGCATTTTTGACTTGCAACTCAGTGGAAGTAAAATGTATTATGTTTTTTTTTCTTCCCATAAACAAAACAACTGAAACATTTTAATGCAGTTTAAGACTTAAAAGCTCAAATTAGAGAAACAAATCTATCGATTGATCTAATGCAATAATCTGTCATTTATCTGGTTATATAACATTGTTTTTGGTTTTGGTAGATTTGAGCTGGAACGCCTAAGGAATAAAACAAAATAAACTCGTCTTGGTCAGAAGTCCTGTTCAGGCGGAAATCTGGGAGGTTTATTTATGATGACATTTGTCACCGGCTGTGCTGAACAACACTGGCCTTTAAACACAGGTCAAGTGTTTGCCTGACAAATCCATTTTGGGGAACATTTTCACTGCTGTCAGGATGAAAAAGTAAAGGGGCGGGACAAGTCATACAACCCCTGGCAAAAAGTATGGAATCACCAGTGTTGGATGAGCAGTCATTCAGACATTTCATGCTGTAAA